AAGCTGCGATCGTGCAACTTTGCCATTACTTTTTAACTTAATGTGGACTATCAGACATGTGCAACGTCATTAGTATTTGTTACTAAACACAAATAGATTTGGGTAATAAATAATACAAGTCAATTAAACAAAAAGTTTGTAATGAAAATTGTCAAAAAATGTTAACGAGGAAAAACATGGAAGCTTTCCTCTTCTATATGAGTTTTCTTTTACTAATAAGGTGCAAATAATACTAAGTAAATTAAACAGAAAAAGTATGCATATGAGGAACAGAATAATGAAGTGATAAATAATGAAACGTAGGTGAGCAGCCTACAAACATATACTTAAATCGTGTATGTCTACAAGATTTTGAGAATTATCTTCAGATTTAATATGAATAAAGTTCGTATAAAGAATACAAAACTAACGAGCTTCATCTTCACTCGACTAAATTCGAAATTTCAAGTGGTATTAAATTAAATACAACTTAGGTCAAAACTCCGTTAATTACTGCAACTTTTTATTAAAATCCATCACAGCGCTAATGCGTGTGGTCTTTAACGAAAATGGACAAACGTACTTAAACAATTACTTACACATTCATATTATGCACACCCACGACATTTATAGATCGATTTACATAATACCCAGTTAAATTAAGCGCATAATTTGCCAAATGAGTGAAATTATAGAGAATTAAGGAGATCCCTTTAGTTAGATCGCAATTAATCTTAATTTAAAAAAACACCTATGTTACATGACATCAAATAGAATATTTAAAAAAAACATTAAGTAATGCCTACCAATCCTACAGATATTTGTAAGAGGTTATTCTAAAACAGTCTTACTTTGGCTCCAAAAAATCTATGAGGTACCTAACTGATAAACTAAATCGAAGATCGATTAATGGTACATTTCGTCGTCCTAACCAAAGATTAGAGAAAACTTCTAGCGTTACGTCAAAAACGTCAACTGTCAATTTCAAATTGAAATAAAATAAATTCTAGAACAGTCGACGACGCATGCACGCGCGACATTTTAATTAAGGGCAGGCGTGCACTGATCGCAATATCGGAACGCGATTATAATGTTCGTATGACTTCGTGAAGACCCACCAGTGCGCTATGATACGTCGGTGTCACCTTACATAACGCTATGTTTGTTATAACTCACTAATATATCAGCTGATGATTAAAATTATAACTGTATTCGTGTTAAAAGGTACTTTTTTAATATAAATATTAAAAAACGGACAGTTTTTCTTTATATTTTGGTTAGAATCGCAATTTGGACAGTGATTGTGATTTGATTTGTAGTGTTGTCGAATCTTTTAACGTTTGCTACATCTTTATTTATTATTTACAGGGCTTATTAACGACTATTTTGCCCCTATCTATAGAATATTTGCAAGACAATATCTATTAGACGGAAGGGCATCAAGAAATGCCGCAAAAGCTAAACCTAGTTGCCCATTCACAAAGCGATAAACTGCTATTTGGATTAGCCAAAGAGCAGTTAATCCACTCAACTGTAAGTTAGCCTCTATGCCTTTTTGATTACCTAAGTGTCCTTAATTAGAAAACAGAGCAAAATTGTATGCTAGAGAACATAGATTAGAGCCAGTACCTATACGTGAATAACTGTATTGACTATAGGTAATTAATTTTTCAATACAGAAACAATAAAGGTTCTTAAATTCAGAACTTGGATAGAAAATCGTGACGACAATTTGATTTAACACCATCTTGTGAAATCATACTTCCTCACTAGTCAAATTGGATGAGTCAATCGAAACAATGTTTCAGAACACATCGCCAGTGATCTGCAACTGTAATATTGTTTGCACTTATTTACATATTGGTCATAATAAACGATATGACTAAGTATTATAATAGAAAGATGGAATACAATCATTCAATTTCTTTGAATTTTCGATGATACATTACTTTGTAAGGCATCCAGCGTTTTATGATAGCATCAACAGATTGCATTAAAACTAGAATAGGTAATAGAAAAAAGTATTTACTTGTCTGTTGACCCTTTTTTTATTGGTACAGTCCCGTCATCAATGCAACTCCTGTTAACCAGCCTATCCACAATAGAGACAAACAATAAAAGGTACGAGATAACAAAAGCCCGATACATCACAGGGACACGAAAATCTGTCTGGGATCCGACAAAGAAATGAATTGAAAATATCATTAGACGAGAAGAAAAGGCAAGAAAGCCTGTCCCTTCTAAGAATCTAGACATCTGATTGATATTAAATAATAATAATAATTGTGTGTCCATTATTACTACACTTATTATTATTATTATTACACTTAGATTAAAGTTGTCTAAAGGGCCTCTGTGCAATTGGTTTCGGACCCTCGTACACCTCCCAAATGACCGGGACCCTGTGGTCCCGTGAATGGTAAACACACACATAATTATTCAATTTATTAATTAAAAGACATCAAAATAGAACCGACTAAAGAAAAGATAGATTGTGTGATGATATGAAAGAGAAAGGAGTTTGTAATGGAGAATGCAAAAAGAAAACATATTTAAAAATTGGGTAGGTATTTGACAACTAGTAAAATTATATACATTTTTCGAACTGTCAAAAACGACAGTTTTCTATGAATTTTGTACGAGACTTTGAATTGTGACGTCACGTTTCTTAAAATTTTACTGCAAATATACTAAAATTAAAAATTGGTCATAAAATCAATTATGTAATGAAAGTGTGATTATTTTTTTAACATTTTATTGTATTAAACAGTCGAAATATTTTATTTTTGATGAAGAAAAGTACCCAATTTTATAGGCAGGAAGAAGAAACGAAATTCATTCTAAATATTGTACGTATTTGTCTTTACTGCCGAACCTCGACATCAACTAAACATTAAATATAATATAATTAGCAAAACTATATATATAAAATCTGAACAATAAATCCCCAACATTACTCACGTAAATTTTAATTACTGACATCAATAGCAAATAAAACAAATGAATTTATAGCTGTTTAGATACTGAAGATAAGTTGTTATACAAGAACATTGAATAAATTAAACACATTTATGTCTATATAATAAACATATTTATATCGAATTGACAGTTTTTTTAAATTGCAACGATATGAAGCAATGTTGTGATTCGAGATTAATTTAATTATGTAGTTAACTAAATATCTTATGTTAGATATTTCATGTCGTAATTTTTTTTTTTTATTTTAAACCACAAAGTACTAAACTAAATAATAGTTTAATATTATGTGGCTTGAAGCTTTTCTATTATTAGACAATCAATCGTCGTAATGATTAACTAAACCTACTTCTAAGACCAAACTAAATAAAACGATTAACTAAAACTACTTCTATATACCAAACTAAACATTTAATTTTTTTTAACATTTCCCCAAACTAGGATTTTCTCCTGTGTCGTGGGTGCGTTTACAAACATACAATATCACATACACATGACACCCAGACCAGGAACAGAATTACAAAAAGATGTGACCCAAAAATTCGACGTGAAAGATCAGGAATTAATTGACTTTAATTCTCGCTCTAAAACTGTGCTAAACTTAAACATTGCTGTACACAATACGTCCATAACCATCTACATTCATACCTGTCTCCATACAAGATGAAAGTTCATAATTAAGAATATACACAATTTCTCCGCGCCTAGATTTGAATAAGATGTGCGGACAACTTGCCGCCCTATCATCTCAAGGTGCTTATGTGAATACAAATGAGTAGTTTCGTACATAATGGCGGATAAACACATAAGATCAATTAGATTTGATTAAACGACAGTCCTGCCGACTTATTTAGATGAAGGAATGTTATTGCAAGATGAATGTAACGGTTGATTATACATGGGAAGGTTTAGATGTGTCTGTTGCTCGATTACTCTGAAATTACTGTGTGTATTTTGATGAAGTTTGGCTGAGAAATAGAATATGGACTCATCATCAAGGTACTTACAAGCTTTTGTGAACTAAAAAGGTTGAGTAAGCTAAAGCCCGCAAATGGTAACCATATAAAAACGTTGGCGATAAACTAAATGCCGTGGTAGCGGAGGTTTAAGACGTCCGCTTCTCATGCATGAGGGTGCGGGTTCAAAACCTACGAACAGCAAATACCTATGTGACATTTTCCGAGCTATAATGTATTTTATACGATTATTTATACACCACTGACCTGACTAACGGTGAAGGAAAACATCGTGAGGAAACCTGGACTAATAATTTCTAATTATAAGTTTAAAATTGCCAACCCGCATTGAGCAAACGCGGCGATTAATGCTCAAACCGTCTCCGTGTGGGACGGGGCCTTTGGTCAGCAGTAGAGCAACTTATAGGCTGTTGATGGTAAAACTAAATAAGTTATCAGCTTCTCATAAACAATGCTTAGAAATCAAATAAGCTTAGGTAATACAGATTATGTATATGCTTCCCATAAATGAAAAATGAGGTAACCTCATACCAAAATCCGCTTTTCGGAAGCAGATTGCGATCTTAATTAAACATCTATTAATGCAATCACCCTGATAATCCTATAAGCCAATAAATAACCAATAAATTCCCTATAACCACAAAACCGTTAACCAACATAATTTTGAATTGTTAATCAACATTATTAATAGGAATCCTATATTAATCAATAGGGAAGGTATTATAGAATAAATTGTTTCTCCTCACTTGGAACATGCGGGCGCCCGTGCACTCGTCACCGAACCAACTTAGCAAAACGTCCTAACACACATGTGCTACATAATAAAATAAACTTTATAGTGATAGCCATAAATGTTACTTTATCAATGCAGAAAATTTATTACTTATAAATTATAGAGAATTGTAATAGTACCTATAATTTAATAGTTGATAGAAAAATGAAGGCGATAAGGTTGTGTTAAGAATTTCTACGGGTTTGTCATGCATGTTGTGAATTATGTAGCGAATTATATAAAGAATATGGCAATTTAAAGCGTTTATTTTGATTAAAAAGATAATAAACACCTACATTTATAGCGAATCCGTTCCTCTGTTTTACTGTTAGTCCAGCATTCTGGAAGCAAAAGAAAAAATGTGTTAATGGCGACTGTTTTAAATATATAATCGAAAGCAATTAAATAAATATTAAAAACTTATGATATATATGAGCGCGACAGTCGCCGCATCGTGTCCCGGAATACTGCTCATGAAGTGCTGCTTTTCGCTGCTGATCGTCTAGTTTTAAGCCATACTTTATACAGGCCATGAATCTGTATATAGTATGGCTTGATCTGTACACAGTATACAGAATATGAAACAAGAAGAATCCCTTGTGATACAGTTACATAATATGTAATTAATTTCTATATAGAACTGCGTATGGACATAATTGGGATGATGACAGGGTATGAGTATTAAAAATATAATTAGTCCGTATGTTAGGTAATAAAAAAATATTAGACACGTATTTTTTTACTTTGTCGTATAACAAAACAATACTTAGATAAAACGAATCAAAGTTTAGGAGTGTGGGCTAAAACGTCATTTCTTAGTATAAAATGTACTGAGAAGTGACGTCACGCGACATTTCAAATCAATATATCTTCGAAACTATTCGTTTCCGTAAGAAAATAAAAAATACGTGTCTAATGTTTTTAAATAATCTACCAGACGGACATTAAAATAAAAATTAGTCGTCTACCCCATTGTCAATTTCAATTTAATTTACCCCTTTTAGCCGACATCGCAAAATGCCATCCATCACTTTCAATAAAAGTAAATTGCAATACAAATCGTACAGTTATATAAAAGCAAATATATTTTTATAACGATAACTTACAAGTATAACTGAGTGTTATTCTCTACATTATTTAATACAAAAATTGCAAAGCAAAAGCGTATAGAAAAATTCAGTATTTGGTCTGACTGCCTCTGCCTCGTTGGCCGAGAGGTCGCAAGTTCGACTGCCGGCCAAGGGGCCTCGGGTTCGATTCCCGGGCCGGATAAAAAAATTGTCAGTAATACGGAGTCTGGAATTGTGCCCGGTATATGGCAATAGGCTCACCCCCTAATACATGGGACTCATAACATAAAAAAGTGAAAAGTGGGTGTTACATTGTACAGTGGGATTAAGTGCCGTGATGTGCACCTCTGCCTATCACTTCGGGGATATTAGGCGTGATGTTATTCTGTTATGTTATATCAACATTAGGAATTTGGACATCTTTACTTTTACGAGATCATATCGAAGGATCGTACCCAAAGCATCGAATGCATCAATTAATCATTGTGAATTTCGAACAGTTAGAAAGAGAAAGAGATAGAAACAGAGACAGAATGAGAGATGAGGAACACGATCAAAAGTTGTCACCTACTTTAAATTTTGGGCTGCATGTCACACCGTCCTCTACTGCGATCTATAATTTTACATTTTTTTAATCCACAATAATCTGCAACTATTAGTATTTTCTCTGACCTTAACCCTTAATTTGGCAAGACAAAAAATTGTTAATACTCATGTTTTTTTTCACATTTTCTGCTTTACTAGAAGTTGTAGGGACAAGAAAAAATAATTTAAAAAATCTGGAATCACCTCATTTCCTGAAAATGCATGTCCAGTATACTGGACCTTGCCAGGTTTGCCATAAAGTTGTCAATCATATTGATGTGCTGTATATTACACATTGCCGAATTATTACTTTCTTGTACTTATTTCTGTTTTGAGCAAGTACTAAAATAAAATATAATAAAACGCAAAAACAATGATGTTTTGTATTGTATTAGAGTTTATTTTTTTATTTTTTATTTTTTATCAATATAATGAGGAACAATTTACTAAAATTAAGTGAGATCAACAATATAATCAGTCTGAATGAAAAGATACGTAACAATTATTATTCTAAATTTCAAATAAAATTAAACAACTATAGTATTATATAATCAGTCAACATAGTTAGAAACTTTCACTTACTGTGATAATCATAAAAACAATTTCTCTTACGTACTAAACACAGTCTTTGGTTACATTTTAGACAATACACATCAGTCTTATTTTTGATGCATAGTTTGCAGCGACCGTATGACTCTCCAAAACTAGGGAAATGGCCAATACTATCATAGCGGACACTGTCGTCTGTTCGACAGTTGTTGCTTACGGAAATACGACATCTACTTTTATTCTGTAACTCTCTTGCTAATTGGCACCGAAAAGATTTCAAAGGCATGTGCTTCACTGCCCGATTACTACAATCTCTGCGATAAACTAACCAGGCGTTGTTGACACAAATGTCGAGCATTTGGGCAAAGATTGCAGTATACCAACGACGGCTCTTATAAGTAGTCCGATACAACGCAACCAGCATATCTGCGAGATCGACGCCTCCCATGTTACTATTGTAATGCTTTATGAGTTCCGGACAGTCCACATCAACTCGTGCTTTCATTTCCTTGCTGTATCTCTTTATTTTACCTACAGGGTAAGCATCAGCGTAAGTACTGATGAGAGTGACCACCTTATTATCGTACCATTTAACTATAGCTACCTTATTGTCATTATCAACGACTTGACAATAGGAACCTCTGCCTTTCTTCTTTAAAGATTTATCACTCATCAGTAGTTTTTCACAACCTTTTAGCCGGTTTTGGCGTATAGTGCCTAAACTAAATATACCACATTCGTCTCTAAGGTGTATTGCCAAATCTATAGTCGAAAAGTAATTATCAAAATATACGACACAGGCTCTCATCTGTATTGTCTTGCATAAAGCAATGACAACTTTAGCTCCTAAAGTTAAGGTTTCTTCGGCTTGTGAAAACTGGATATATCTGAATGTGTCTTCACCTCCATAAAGCAAGAAGTCATATACAATTCCCGACATGCCTGCTCGGACAAAGTTTTTGAAACCCCATTTATTGGGTTTCATGGGATTGTACTGTCTCCTGTTACCAGCCTTTTTGCCTTTATACGGTATGGTCATCTCGTCAATACTATATGTCATTTCCTCTTCGGTAGCCAAGCAGTTTCTTCTCACTTTCTCTACAAAAGGTCTAACTTTGAAGTAACGATCTGAATTTGGACAGGAGTTATCAACAAAATGGATGTATCTTCGTATGGTTTCAAACTTTTTTAATGACATAATTTCAGCAATAGCTGGGTACCGTAATTCTCTCGACCAATAATCTACATATGATGGCAAATTTACCACACCCATAAGTAATAATATGGAAATAAAATCTTTCATTTCGTCCTCAGAGATATTGATGGATCGGCCAGTAACTTGAACTGCATAAAGGTTGGTATTATGTACTATGTCTTGTAAAATATCCAAAGAAAAGTATCTCCAAAAATAATCTATAGGCGTGAAATCGGGATGCAAGTTATTCTTAAATTCACAATTAGTTATTTCGGCTTTGTGCAGGAATTTGCCTTTTTTCCATTTGTGGTCTGTGGGTTTACGTTTTTTGGGCCTGATATTATGGACACGAGAGTGGGTGTTGACATAGCGCCTTCTTTTAGACCTGGTATTCACGGCATTAGGTATCGGTGATATATCTTCAACAGACGGTATAGAGTGAATGGACGACAATGTTGGAATATTATCAAAATTTACCTGACTGGTCGACGGCAACACTTGGTTGATTATTGGTGTTAGAGGCACTGCTAGTTCTTGATCTTCTAGCTCGCTATTGGGTATCTCATCTTCAGAAGCATTATTCCTATCTTCATCGTCTTCGGAAATATCTAAATTTTCTAATGACGACGGTATAGATGGGGCTTCAGAGGACAAATCGTCACTGTCTTGGCAGCATGTGCTTATAACAACCTCTTCATCCGAACTGGTTTGATTTTCTACGTCTGATAAGGCGTTAATTGGCGGTACTAGTGCCAATAACTTTGATGCCCGTGATGTTTGTTTGAACACCTGCAAAAAATACAAATTGTTAGAAAAAATATTACACATAATGACTAAATACGCATCCTAGAATATGAAATCATATTATCAGTTACTTTTCTAAGTACCTGGCAGTGTTCAATATACTACACATCCCAAAACCGCACTAAAACAGTACCTACTTGGCAATGGGAAATATACTGGACAAGCTAATTTAATTCAGTATTACGATAAATACGTAACAGCTATTGTAATTTTAGTTTGTGTTCACAAATTCATAGGTTTTATAAAATATATTTAGGAAAGATGAGTAATCATTGCAAAGTAAAATAACGAATAAATCGGGACTTACCGAGAGCGGTCGCGGCACGTGCTTCCTTCCAGACATTTCGGCGGCGACTGACTAGCAATGAGCACGCGCACCTTACGCGTAATTTCATATACATTATATTACTTTATAAATAAACTAATGTAATTAAAATAAATACAATATAGTTCTAAGAAATAATTGTATATTTTTTTTAAGCTGATGTCCAATATTTTTCACGTTATCGAATTAAGGGTTAAACTCAACAAGTTTCACAATCGTTTACATGTATTACTTACACAATTCTCTATGTAATATATTCCTGTAAATAAATATATTTCAAAACGAATTTTACTCTAAAATAATATTGATTGGACGTGATTTTATAAGAAAACTTATTTAAAATAAAGATTGATAAAGCCATTAATTAATACCAGACTAATTCAAACATTTCGTTTGACATTTAACAAGTACAAACACAATATTTGTTCAGCGACACATGGAAAAATGTGAGAAAAAGTCTTTTCTCTTGTATTCGTGTTCACAAAAGTCGTTCGCAGACAATTTTACGTGATTATTATGCAAACACTAAAGAAATATAATACCTACAACACGACGGGACGGTGTCAATAAACTTATAGTGCATACTAATGTTATTTTAAGAGTAATCAGTGTTTTTGAACAGAACTAAACAAATGTCAACATGAAGTCAATTAAAAAGAATGTCTTTAACTTCCGTACTTTCTTATTTAATTGTCTATTTGTCATGGATTTGAAGAATTCGTTAATATCGGTTTAAATATGAGTAATCATAGAAAGATAGGAAATTATGTAGGGACGTGTCATGCCGCGTAACTTAATCCTTTTTTTTTCGAA